TGAGACCCAGTAAGAGACATTTTATCCTCCAGCATTTTGTACCTACACATAACATCCTATGATTATTATATCTTCAGGGTGCTCTTCACTTACAGCATCAGATTTCAAATCTCACTGCAGGATGGGGTGTAATTCCAACATGAATGCCACATGAATGTGGCAAAACTTACTTATTTGCAGAAGGGAGTTTATAAACAAGTTAGGGTGTTCTTGATCTGATTTATGCTGGGACATCCCAGACACCCCAGGCAGAAGTAAACTAGGATGAACATATATTTTCACTCTGCAAGTAGTGTCAAAATTTCACAGGGGCATGAAAATCCACACATTTCTATATAATAAATGCAAAATTCTTTCCTCTATCTGAAATAATTTAAAGGATGGGTGTGCTCCCATCCTTCCTTACCATTTGATGGAGTTGATAGTGTTGCTGAATTGCTGATGATTTAGGCGTAAAAAAGCATTATAATTTTGCATTTCTTCCCTCCAGTAATCTTTCAAAACACTGCTCTGTGTTAAGAAATAAAGTTAGTGGTATTTACAGACTAGTTTATTGGCACAACAGCAAGAAACTAATTTAGATTATATTAGGCTAGGTTAGGTTAGGCTAAGGTAGGTTAGGTTGCGCTAGGCTGGGCTGGGCTGGGCTGACTGAGGGTAAGGGCAAATACAGTGGAAGTATTTGGGTATAAAAACTTCTTTCTCGGGAAGTGCAGTGCTGTTCCTGCTGAGTACTACATACGGTGACGTCGTGGGGTGGGGTAAGAGGAAAGAGGAGGGGTGATCTCCTAACAAACAGCTGTTGCAGCTGCAGAAAGGAAAAAGGAGAAAGCTCTGGAGCAGCAGCAGCAATCCGACCCCTGCAACAGGTAATGCTTCTTGAGTGAAGGTGACACAGACTGCTCAAATGCAAAAAGGAGAGGGGAAAAAACAGTGGGTGGCATGTGGGAGAAAAGTACAGCAGCTGTACTCAGCAGCTCTCTTCTTTCTTAACTACAGGGCTTGCAGCTTGTCATGGGTAGGAAGGGGAAGACACAGAAGTTCAGACCAACATGACTTAATGTGACTTAGAAGGAAACTATGTCAGCAGAGGGAATTTTCTAGCAGATCCTGCCTACTGAGGGGAAAAAAAAAAAAAAAAAAAAAAAAAAAAAAAAAAGGAACATTGCTCTCTGGTTTCAGCGTGGGGGCTGGTTCCTCATGTGTGGTTAGCCAGCACAGGCACACAGAGCACAGGAGTCCCGAGGGGCAGTAAAGTGCTCTGTGCATGCAGCCCTGGGTGGGATCCTCCGTGTGGCACAACCCTGAGAGCAACCTGAGTGTGGCCTTCGTCCTGTCACCCTGCAAGGGACACACAGATGGGGCAAGGGCTGACCTGATCTGGGCGCCTCTGCTGCGCTGTCACCTCAGCTCATGGGGGAGCATGGTCCTGACCACCCTTCAGACTAAGGGCACCTACCTCCATGCTTGCCTTGGATGATAGTTACCAAAGAGACACACTGAAGGTCTTTCTGATAAAAATAATAAAATGCAACAGTTACACTTTGTGAAAATTCTGCCCAAGGAAGTATATCAGGCTTTGCAACTAAAATGATAAAATCTTTGCTGTGTGTGCTAGTTCTGACATTTCTTATATTTCATCTAGTTTTCTGGGTTTTGAGCCCACAGAGAAAGCAGATAAGCTTTCTGCTAAGCAAGGTTGATATTACATATGATAAATGCATCCCTAACATTTCAATGTATTTGGCATAATAAACAGTAAATATTACTAAAAATATTTGTAAAAATAAATAGTAACTTGTCCTAGTAAATAAGGTGAAACTGACAATTAAAACAGCAGACAGCAAGTGCAGCCTTCTGGGTCTATGTCTCCTGCAAGAACTATGTTTGTTTCTTTCTCCTGTCATCAATGCAGGCAGAGTACTGAAATGTGCTGTGACCACCCTTCCCCCCGCATTTCTTTCAAGTGAAAGAAACTTGGACGTTTAAAACAAATCACACTAAAGGGAGAGATGTGGCAGCAGGTCAGGCACCAGGGTGGCAAAGTGAGTTTTGGGAGACTAGCCAGCAATCTGAGGCTCAGGGACTGAATCAGTATCTGATGGATTGTCTGTGTATTGTTTGCAACAGGGCTGCAGAAGCAGGTTCTGGAAGTGAAATGTGGAGTCATCCCTGCTGTGGACCGATGGGAGCAGGAGATCTAAATAAAGACCTCTTCTGCCCTTCACATTTCACATAGAAGCAGATGCCTGAGTTTTGTGTTGTGACACAGAGCTGTTGGGACAGGGAACTAGGGAAATAGATTATCTTAGGCCCGCTTTTGTTTCTGTAGGTAAAGAGGTCAGCCTTTGGATGGAGAAGGACCTTGGTGAAAAGCTACATTTCAGCTTCCTTTTATCACACTGAAATCACCTTTCAGTCTCTTCAGATTTCTTTGCTTCTGTGAAAAGCTTTTGTTTGGTCTTAAGTACTTGTTGGGCAGAGATTAACAGAGTAGGCTGAAAAAGTGTGATGCAGTCTCAGATCAGGGTTGTTTCTTCACAGTGCAGAGTTTCAGCAGGGGAGGGAACTGTGCCACTCACAGCTCCGGGGCCAGGATCTGTCTGCCATGTAACACCGGCATGCTGCTCGGCACACGTCTCTACACTCCTTGGGAATATGGGGCCCTCCATTAATGTAACAGTCTGTACATACTGCAGCCGTCACTGGTATATTTTAAAGATTATGTGTTCTAATGTGCAACAGCTGCCACACTGCCAAAACACTAATGTGAGGCTGTGTTTACAAATGCTACTCCCTGTTTAGTCAAGATTAAGTACCCTAAGAACTGCAAAAACAACAGTTTTCTAGCCAGCCAATGCAGGAAGAGTTTGGAAAATACAACCAAATCACTGAAAGACAGGCTCTGAGGATGACAGAACATCTAGCAAACTGAACTTCAGAAGAGAGAAGGCATATGCTCAGCTTGCACCCAGTGTGATGCATACACAGCAGTATCAGACCAAAAGAGTGGTGGAGCTGCTGACTGGAAAGCCTCAAGATTTTAATGTCTGTTCCTGTAACTTCCATACACTAATATCTATCCATCCAGTAACCAGGTTGTTTCTTAACACAGAACAATGTTCTTAATTTATTGTCTTTTTATAATATGTAGATTCCCAACTTCTTCTTGCCACAAGATGGAACAAAGTGTCATTCAGTAATAAAACAGATGGAATTTGGTTTAAATCTTAATTGATTTCACTGGACTTTAGTTCAATTCAGCTGTATCCTACTTTTTCTAAAAGAAAGGTATCTATGGAATAGATTCCTTTGTTTTGGGTCCTTTTATGTCTTATTTTTACAGTATTAATGGACAATGATGTATTTTGGGAAATATTTTATTCCCACAAATCTTTTTGTGCTTACAAAAGTGATGCTGTGAATAGTTGTCATCCTACATAACTGGAAGAGAGGAAGACAAGTGCTTTTATGACCTCCCTGCAATTTATCTGCTATAAAAATTTAGAAGATGAGTTTATCTAGATCAACTTAAATAAGTAACATAAGTAACACAAGTATTGTTAATTATGGTCCAATGCTAGGAATGAAGGATAGGCATTCATCAAATTTAGATATTTCTGAACAGAGAAATTTATTCCATTTGTTAATGTACAGATACAAATGAAATTAAATTTTTTGGCAGAGACATACCACAAGAACATACAGGATCAAGGCACAACTTGAAGAGAATACTACTTACTAGAGCAGGAAATGAATAGGTCCAACACAAGAGATAAATTCTAGTACAAAATTAACAAGTTAATTTCCTAAAAAGTAGTCTTATAGCCAGAGGACAAGTAAATCTCTCCTTTTCAAAAGAGACCAGAAGAAATGCATTTATAGGAAATTAGGTCTATCCAGAGTTCATGACGTCTTGCAAAAAGTCAGATTGTCCATGAAAATTAGGTTAGAATATCTGCAAAATTAGTCTTCTCCCACAGGAGAAGATTTTATTTATTAAATGCAATTTGGATCCAGAAGTTAATGGAGTATCTTTGTTTAGATATTTCTTCCTCTGGAGGCACAAATTTCACTTTATGGCCACTGATTACCCTAATGATTGGTGGGAACTCTGAAAATTTTTCTGGGCATATCCTAAGTGTAGCAATAAAGGGAGCCTTTAATCCATTAGACAGAGTTCTGTTCTGGGACCTCTGTTCTGTTTATATTTCATGGAACCAAAGAATTATTTGGGTTGGAAGGGACATTGATAATTGTTAAGTTCCATTCAGCTTCCTCTAGTTCCAACACTCCTACCATGGGCAGGTACACCTTCCACTAGTCCAGGTTGCTCAGAATGCCATCCTTCTTTTGGCCTTGAACACTTCCAGGAATGGGGCATCCACAGATTCTCTGGGGAACCTGTGCCAGTGCCTCACCACCTTCAAAGTAAAGAATCTTTCCTTAATGTCTAATCTTACCCTTCCCTCTTTCAGTCTAAAGCCATTCTCCCTTATCCTATCACTACATGCTCTTGTAAAAAGTCTCCATCTTGTTAAGTTTGCTTTAGGTACTGAAGGCCACAATTAGGTCATCCTGAAACCTTCTCCAGCCTGGACAGACCCAGTGCTCTCAGCCTTTCCTCAAAGGAGAAGTGCTCCATCCCTCTGATCATCTTATTCACTTGTGCTCTGACTCTCCTCTGGACTCTCTCTCACAGTTCCATGTCCTTCCTGTGCTGGGACCCCAGAGCTGATGCAGCCCTGCAGTGGGGTCTCAGCAGAGCAGAGCAGAGGGGCAGAATCCCCTCCCTGGCCCTGCTGCCCACACTGCTCTGGATGCAGCCCAGGACACGTTTGGCTTTCTGGGCTGTGAGTGCTCATTGCTGGGTCATGTCCAGCCTCTCACCCTCCAGCACCCCCAATCCCTTCTTGTCAGGGCTGCTCTCAATTTCAGCTCTTTTCCTTTGCTTTATTAACATGTCCAAAGAGGGTGCAAATTCTTACAATGTTGTTTTAAGTCATATAGTTTATTATTTTCACTTTCCACAGCTTTACCATGAGCATGTACCTGTTTGTGTATGACTTAATGCAATTCTGTGGACATTCTTGGATATTTACAAATATGATCATCAGGTTCATGACATTTGGAAAAGGTAAGACTCCTTCTCTATTTTCCTTGGACATTTTAAGCGGCAATGACAGATACACAGAAATATCAAATTAGAGATAAAAGTTAAGAGTCTGAACATGTGTATGTCCAATACCAGGGACTAATTCAATCAGAAAGGCACTCCATTAAAAAGGCTGAACAAATTACTTGTGCCTGTCTTCTACTCTTTTCAGACTGGGAATGAAGCTCTTGTTTTACTAATAAACTTTAATATTCAGTGGCATACTAGTAACATTTGAATTAGATATAAACCTAAATGACTAGGTCCAGTCACAATTGCAAATATTAATCTTACTGAAGCTACTGGGAGAGAGTATCTTTGTGGTTATTATATATGACTCTCTATCTCCAAAAACATTACAATATATTTCTGTTGCCTGGGGCTAAGACACAAAAATAGAAAAGTAGTGACTGAAAATTTAACATTATTTATAATGGTGGACAGTTTTAGGCATATAAAATGATTGCTTTCTGGACTGCTTGTTTTCAGCAGTGCAGATACAGGCAGGAACTCAACATCTTGTAGTGTTTAGAAATTCTTCATGCATTTCCTCAACATTTTCTCCCATTTAGAAATACCCTAAAGCAGTATCTCTAAACCAACACATCCTGCACAGCGTTTGCCCATGCTTTAAGTATAGGGAATTTAATTATTTTCTCAGCTTCCTGCCTCTGTGTCAGAACCACACACACAGAGCAGACTGCCTCCTCCACTCCTTGAAGCTTTTCTTCTGTTACCCAGAAGTTTGGTACTGTGTGGACTTTATTTCTTGTCATTTCCAGTGATGATAGCATAAAAGCAAACCCAGCAGTTGCTCCAGACTTTTAACTGTATAACCATCCTCTAATCTTCCTCTTAATTTTGTCTTTAGATTCACTGGCTGACACGTTTCACTCCATAGGACTGGTGATGCGCCTTTGCCAGTTGTTATCTGTCCTGGAGATCCTACACATCCTCATCGGCATTGATAAAAGCCGTCTCCTCCCCAGGTTTTTGCAGGTAAGTTCGTTCTCAAAGCTCTCCTTTCGTGACCAACACACATCAGCCATGGCTGCCCCTGGGGACAAGCCCAGGCTGAACTACTCTGAATGTACCCTTCCTCAGGCAGCCTGGTTTCCTGGTAATTTCCCAACTGCAGGAATTGGTTCCTCAGAACTGGGCTGGTTGGGAAAGAACTCTCCTGTCAACTTTTTTCTTTTTGAGTGAAACTGAATAGTGAGTACCCCATGCTTGGTCCCCAGCATGGACCCAGAAAAGGTCTGGATGAGTGGCCACCAGCAGAAGTGGATCAGTGGCCAGCTGCAGTAATCAAACCAAGCCAGGGGGGCTTGGTCCTTCTAAACTTCTCCCTACATAACCTCCCAGCATTCCTGTAGTCCCCCTAAGTTATCTTCCCCTCCTTCCAGAGTTGATGCACTCTCTTCTTTTTCCCTGACTTCCAGTAAGTTCTCTGTTTAACCAAGTTGGTCTTTTCCCCTAGTAGTTGTCATATGTTCAGCTGAAGGCAGAAAACCGGCCAAAACATCATATACTATAGCAGAAAGAAAGATGATACTCTGACAATTTCTTTGCCATGCTATTTTTTTTATTTTGGGTGCTAATATCAGGTTTTGTTATTTTTTTCTTAATACATTGGAAAAAAAGAAAATGGTTATTTGAATTTACCTTCAAACCTTTTCAATCTATAGTATTTGAGTAATGGTGAAACTCATATTTCTCTCAGCAGTCAGAAGACCAAGAGTAGTTAGTTATGTTTTTAGTTTTCTGGATAGCCCATTTTTATCAAATGATGTATTCATAGGTGAAGATGTTCCTCTTTTCAAGTCTTCATTAACTGTCTAAATTGACTAATATGGATCTCTATTCTTTACACTGCTCCCTAAGTATCAAATCCATAAAAATGTAAAGAACTGCTTTTCCTTGCCTAAATCCACAGGCTTTGATGCTAATCTAGGGGAGAAAGAAGACTCCTATCTAGTATGACCTGTAACAAATCTCACATGTCTTGGAATGAAGAGCACCCTGCTCTTAGTCATTAAAGTAGGCCTTGTCCTGACAGAGTTTACACATTCCCCAGCCCTGACATAGTCTGTTTCTTTCCTAGCCAGACTTACACAAGGCAGAGATCAGGGAGGCCTGCACAAACACTATTATGTTTTGCCACAAATGACATTAGTATGAAAGGGATATTCTGAGCAAGAAAACCGTGACCTTTCTTGGACAGTGCAGTTTGTGCAGTGCTCTCCTGGAAAATATGGAGAGGCAGCTCAGGGAACCATATGGCATTGTGACTCTCAGTGTTCACCTCACACCAAATATAGTTTTGGTTCCTTACTTGGTTCTTTCCCCAACTGCACTCTCACTGTGAACTTTCTTCCTTGTTAGCAGCAGCCTCATGCTGTCCAAACAAGATATATAAGCTCTTTGGTGGAGACTCTGCTGTCCTGTGGGTTGCCCGCTTTTGAGAGTGTTGGTTAAGCATCTGTGTGCCACCACTACTCCCACATGCCTTGTCACACTTTCTTCACTGCCTCTTAGGAAGGAAAAAAAGGTATATTTTCCACAGTGAACTAGGGAAGAGATGTTGGTTAAGAAATGTTTACCTTGCTGCAGCTTACTAGACTGCTGTACGGGCAGGGCACTGACAAAGGTACAAGAATTTGAGAGGGGCTGCTTGGTTCTCTGCTCCCATCACCTATTCCAACGCAGAGCTTAAAACCCCTGTGTGCATCCCTCATTAACAGGCATGCATGTCCACATTGAAGTTCACCTGGGGTGATAGCCAGAGTGTGAGAACAGCTGGCTCAGGCAATGTCAGAGAAGCACATGGGTGGAGGCAAATGAATCCTTGAGTGAAAGATTTCTGCCTATTGCATTTGTCATTATTTAGTAGCATTTAAGAAAAACAGTTTGAGTTACATGAAAAAACAAATTCAGAGGAGTCTTCTGGAAAAACTCCTTGAGGGACAAAGTCTCAAGCCACCAAGCACCTGAGAAAAGCAAGGTAGGTCAAGGCCAGCTCACATCCTGAAAGAAAGATGAGTCCTGTGTGATGGATGTGCTGGGGTAAAGTGAGGCAGGGGATGGTCATAAAGCTGATGCAAAGGCTATTTACACCTTAAATAATTGGAGGAGGGCAGGAGAACTTGTCACATGTCATTGTCACCAGCAAAACAGAAGGTAATGAAATGTGTTAGTCTGGCAAAGTAGCAAAGGTTGAAAGGACTTGTACCACAGCAAGGAGAGAGAAAAGGTCTAAGAAAAGACTGATGTTTTTGTGAAACAAAGAGTAGTCCTTCATCCTGTGTGAACAGATTGGATTTACCAAACCAAAAGCAATGTACTATGGCTTTGTGATAAAAACCTGATTTTTTAACTTAAATATTTAGTGGCACTTTTCTCACTTTCGTTGTTGTTTTGGTTTGTTTTTTTTTTGTTTGTTTTTGTTTTTTGTTAATATACACTAAATTTAATAACTATGTAAGCATTTCAGGTACTGAGTACAAAATTGCACAGTCATGGTTATTAAAAAATGAAAGTGAATGTGCTATTTTCTCTAGCCAAATTTGCTCTGTTTCTCTTACTTGATTAATAAACTCAGTCTGCCTTGCAGAAACTTTTATTGTCCTACAGAACCTGCTGTATCCCATGAGAGATCAGTGTCAGAAAAGGAAGGTAATTCCAATTTGATTTTAAAGAAGGAATGAAAACTGAAAATGTTATATTTATGCTTCATGATATGTCAGCACATACTTCCTTTTTATGAATGTGAAAACATAGAACTTGTAGTTTTGTGCTTTTTTTTTTTTATTCAGAGCATGAGTATACCTACAGAGAATATCATGTCTTCATTCATGAAAGGACAGATGATCCATACAGGAAATGATCCATAGCTGAGCAGAGCACATGTATTTTATTTACATGTGTATATGTGTGTGTATTTATAAATGTACATGAATCCATGAATATATGCATACAGATGTGTGTACATATATCAACACAATATCAAAACATACTACTCTTCTCCAAGAAGCACCCTGCCTCTTCACTTGCAGAAAATGTCCCCAGCCTTTGACTAATCTCTGCATTTACCTTCGATTTGTGTGGGTTACCTAAAGCTAGGAGTGCTATGAAAGGAAAGAGAATAAAGGCAAGAAGGCAGGTGACCTGCTGATTTATGCAGAGAAAGAGGTAGGATGCCACTGCCTGTCCTCATGGGGGTATCAAAATCGTCCTGAGCAGCCAGCTCTGTGTCCTGCCCCACAGATGTGCTCCAGGCCAAGGCCACGTCCTTCCAGTCTCAGTGTCTGGTGGCTGCTTTGTGCAGCCCATTGCTTGCCAGATGAGACTGCAGTCTAACAGGAACAAATACCTCAAGATGACCAGTTTGTGCCATGTCCAATTTCATGTTCTTGCAGGTGCTTAACATACTTTATAGTTCGATTACTGAGTTCCTTCATGTGTAATTACCAAAGTTGCATGTCTCCATTGCTCCCCTTCCCCAGTATGACTCTCTGATTGAGGCAGTCTGCTGAACCCCAGGTAGGGGGTTCTAACTGCCTCATATTTCTCCTTGTATCCTGGGGAGAGAAGAAAATCCACAGCTTCTTCCACTTCTAGATTATAAGGCTGAATTTTGGGTCTCTGTAGTCATTCCGTCACTGGCCAGCACACATCCATTTGAAACTGGAGTTTCAAACTGGAGTTTGAAATGGTAACTACCCTTCTACTGCTTGTCCTTTCTCTCACTGAAATGGGATTGGATCTCAGTCATTTACCCCATGCTGTTTTCTAGCCCATTTCCTCCTAGCCATTTTTGGAAAAGTGAGTGATCATTTGGAAATTCTTCCAGCTCTAACATCTAAGAACATGTCCATTTTTTCACTATCATGATGAAGCCGTGGTCTCTAGGACCTGTGGCAATTCCCTGAAATAGCTCTTGCATTAAAAATAATGCAGAACTCCCTCTCCGCATCTTAAGTCTGATTTTAGAGTCAGTAAAAAAATACCCACACCACCGATGCTGCATTCTTTATTACTCTACATCTAACAATTTAAACTCAGGTCCTATCTTATCTGTTCTCTCCAGCACACAGTCCCACCCAGTGCTCACACACTTCTACCTTTGTTTTGATTTCCTTTTTGTGATGGTTGCCCTGTTGTGTTTCTTGTATCTCTGTTCTATCTGGTTTCAGATCTGCATTCAATACTTCCAGTTCCCCCATGTTTTCACCATGTTTCTCAGCATCAGTGTACAAACACAGGACATACTAGCTCTCACTTTCTGTTTCCTGACCCATCTATACAGAAGTCTGCCAACATCTGACCTTTTGTAAAATCAGTTCCTCAGTTAGGGACCTATGGGATCAGCAGCACAAGGTAATGGTCATAGGATGGTGAGAAGCAGGAAAACCATTTTTAGCTGTTGTGGCCCCTCAGTGCTTTCCAAGATGAGGAACCAGATCCCAGGGGGACAGACATCCTCTCTTTCTGTATGAAAAATTGCTCTGACGTAATTTTGCTGAATAGTGAAGGCTGCTTTATCTGACAGATGTGGTTTGTGAAACAAGAGAGTTTGTGGCCAGAATGGTCCATGCAGGACCCTGTAAATATTACGTAGCAAAACTACCACACAAACTTGTCAACAGGCAGAATTCTTACTTTGGTTAAGGTAGGAGTCTGGGGAAATCAATGAAGAATAAATTCAACACTTAAAAAAACAACCTTGGTAATCCACTTTAATTTTGTAACTTTTAACTGATTTGACATCACAACTTGTGAAATCATTACAACTAATGTACCTTTGGAAGACATGGCATTGGGTTAAAAAATCCAACCTAATGAAGATATATCAATTCATACCAACTGCTTAGGTGCATATTTTCTACTTCAACACTTTCAAATAGAGTGTAAATCAGAGCGAATTGTTACTGTTCTGGGACAGCTTGACAACTCTTGGAGTACTGATTAATTTACTCTACAGGGCAGGACATGGATACTGTTAGGAAAGTTTTCAGGAAAGCTGCAAAAAGATGCACTTTAAAAAAAATTCTTGAGTTTTAATATTACCAAAGTATTTATTTTAAGCTGGAGACACTGCCTGTTTAATCCACATTATCTTTTAATTTGTGGGTTGGATAAAGTTCAACTACTAGAAAAATGCTAGGACATAAATACTATGGCAATTATTCACATAAGTGACAAGCTTAAACCCACTTCCCGTAACCAAGAATAAGATGGAAAGAAAGATAAGGAATTCTACTTTTCCTCCTTCTTTCTGCAAATCTTACATGAAAGAGATTCCTTGGGACACAGATTTCCAAGATATGAGGAGCAGATCTGGGAGTACTTTCTGGCATATGACCCCCCTCAAGAAGGGTCCTCTGTATCCTACAGCCTCCCACACAGCCACAAGCAAGGAAGCTTATCCCTGCCAGCATTCCAGGTAGTCAGGTGCAGCAAGAGTAGTCCTTGCTTCCACAACCTCCCTGGGCTCACCCATAGGTTTCTTTGGCTACAAACACAAGTCATCCCAGCTGGCAAGCCAACTTCCACACGTACCATAACAGCTCTTTGATGCTACAGCCAGCAGTGTCCACTGCTCTTTGCTGAAGGACTTTGAACAAAAGCAGGCCATGAAACAAAATATTCACTGCTGATGTTGTGTAAAAAAAACTGTATCCACTTGTGGCCTCCATTTTTCCCAAAACACCACAGAAATAGGTTAGAGAAGATGCCAACTGAATTCAAAGTTTTCTTTTCTTTTCAGATCACTGAGAGAATAATTATTTTATTTGTCGTGATCAACAGTCAGGAAGAAGTTCAAGGGAAATATGTCGTCTGTGTTTTATTTTTCCTTTGGAATTTATTAGATGTGGTCAGGTAAGGAGTCAACATCAAAACCAGGAGGGGAAAATGGGTTATTCTTGCCAGCTGAACTCTAACCCCATTGTGCATCAGGCTCATTTAATTGTTTGAAAATTGGCAAAGCATATTATCAATTTTTAAATAAAAGCTTGAACTTTTTAAGTTACCTAATAATTTTTACAAAAATCCGCATGGTTAAGAGGCAGAGTAACTTACAGATGTATGATAGAGTAATGCATTAGCAGACTGCATTAACATTTGTAGTTCAAAAGCTTTGATGTTTTTAATGAAAATTTAAAAGCAATCATAACTACCTTCTGGAGAACAGCAATTCCTGAAGTCTTGCTGGTTGTCATTACCATCCTGTTGCTTTATTATTGTTTTTTTTTAATCCACTTTGATCCAAGATTGACAGCACAGTAAGGCAGCACCAGCAGAACTTGCAAAGGCAGAAAGACTGTTCTTGGTTAATTGCACTGTGCTTTCCAAAAAGCCAAGAGCTCCAGCTGCAGGAGACTGAGAGTTTTGGTGTAGTAGGGTATATATCATGCCACAAGAACATCACGTACTTCTCATATGTAATGTAAGCCTCTATGCACCTCAGTTTGTAGACTTAAAGCATGTACATACATAATTAAGAAGCATTTTAAGAAGACACAGCTCTCACAGCAACCCATGTATTGCAGCAAAACTTTTTTTCCTGATAAAATGCCTTTCTGCTAATTTAAATATATTGCCTAGGGCACTGACTGAATAATATGTTTTTTGGCAGCAAAAGAAACATATTATAAAAGAGATCTGAAACAGGAAAGTGTCAGAGAGAATTAATAAAGATTTTAAGTCAGTTTCAGAGTATTTTGAAATACCTTTTAATAGGCTGCTGCTTGTAATAATTATTTTGATTATATTCCATCCCATTTTTTTCTTGAAGTTTGTAAAAAATGGGATGGAATTATAATCAAAAGTTTGTAAAACTTAAAGAAGTTTGTAAAACAGTAGAACCTAATCTGAAATGAAAGGGTTCAGTGCAACTGGAGAAATGCCAGCAGTAGAAACAATATTGGCTATGAAGTCAGTGCATAATAGCACCATTGATGCATCATTATTTTCTACCCTTACTAAAGAACACCACGGTAACAGCAGCTGGTGGTGGTCTATAGTAGTAAATTACCAATTCAAATAAACCGTAGTACAACTCATACAAATTTAGAATTCTTACCTGATTTATCTTACAGCATCCATGACATGTCCTAGTATCTCAAAGAAGTATTCAAGCCTAGAAGTGGTTAAGGATCTCTCCCATCCCTAAGTCAACTACTCTTGAAGTATTACAAGTTTTTCCACATAAACTTTCAGGGACATAAATTTCTCTGAAGGACTATTTATTATTTATTTTATTATGCATTATGGCTGGTGATACACTGAGAGCAAGTTCTGATCTTTCCTGCTTATACCATAACAGCCCATGGAATTATATAGAGAGGGAGTAGCTGCTTCCTTTTTGTATTGTGTTGAGATTCAGCCTTAAGGGCAACAATAATAAAAAATGGAGACAATCCTGACGTTGCAAAGGGCAACCTTGAGAGACAATGGGCCATTTTTAGTGGTCTACTCTTCTACAGTCCAGGTATGATGCAAAATTAATGCCAAATTAATCAAATTAACCAATAAAAAGGGAATAAAAAGGTGTGTTTAATGCTAGTTTTATCTGTCAGAAAGTCTTTGGTAATAGATGAACATCTCTAGCAAGCCCAAAGTGCAGAAAGTCTTTCAGCTGACCAAAAATGCAATCAGACCTGTTTCTGTAGTGTTTGGAGAGCTGCTGTATCACTTTAATATCAAACCAAGATCAGGTCACCTTTGGAGACTGAAGTACTAATCATTCTGGGCTCCCAATAAGCAGCAGTAGCAGCCACAGTAAAAATAAAACGCTACAGTACACTGGTGAACAACTGCTTTTTTTGGACCAACTACCCCTGCTGAGGTCCAGGAGAGGGACAGATGTACTACAGGTTATGTACCTGCAGCTGACTTCTTGTTTAACCTTCTTCAGCAGTAATTCAGTTAGCTCAGCAGTCATAAATCAGGATTGTCTCAGTCCCAAGCAACAGTGATATTCTGCCTGTCCTTCTCAGTTGAAACTCCCCCGTCTGAAAACCATTTTCTGATGCACCAGTATGAAATTTTGTTTGTTTCTGATACAGCTTTTTGTCTGGAGGGCTTTATTGCTGTCTGCCTATTCTATGGTAGCACCACAGGTAACTCTTTGGGGAAAATGAACCATCTACTTTCAGGCATTGGAGTCTGAACAAAAACTGTTGCTGGCTCGGAAATTTACTTAGACAGCTCCAAACTCTTCTGCAATTCCTTTGAACTTTTTCAATAGTGTATCTTTATTCTAAAGACATCATAATTTCCTCTGAACCTATCTGCTTTCCTCTTTTTGCAGGTACACTTACAATATGTTGGCAAGGATGGGTATATACTACTTACCACTAACGTGGCTCAATTTCTCACTGTGCATCGTGCTTTATCCCCTTTCAGTTCTGGCTAAAGGTAAGGAGTTGGGAAAGGTATCAGCCACTTGCTTCCTTAATATAAAATGTGATCACTTCAATTGCCGTTTGTATTTAACTTAGTTCCTCATGTGTTGACAAGGCTGTCATAAATGTTCATGTACTTCATATTAACCTCTATGTCACCTCTGTCTCCCTTTTCTGTTATTTTTACTTTAATAGAGACTATCTGGCGTTTGGGGTTGTGTATCTGGTAGGTTTTATGGTTTTCTGTTTGCTTGGTGTTAAATTTTTCAAAATCTGGGAGAATGTTTTTTTTTTCCTAAGTAAAGCAGAAAGATAGACTCATAAAAGACATATGGATTCCTCCCTTCCACACTGAGTATACTAGACAGCAAGTTCCAAAGCTTCTCCCCAACTGAGGCTGACCATAGCAGGTTATCATATTTACACTGAGAACTCTGCCCACTGGGAACACACTGAAAGTACTTGTTTTTGACAGAACTTGTTAGTGAATATTATATATGTATTAATTCTAGTATTTAAAGCAATTAGCACTCCAAACCTACAAAACTAAACTCAAGGAGAAAACATACATATGTATATGAATGCATATATATATATATATATATATATGTATGTATATAAAAACCTATATATATATATATAAACATATATATATAGGTTTATAAAATATAAAAGGTAACTGACTTGCTCATTGAGCTCTTTGATGATCTTCTGCTTCCTTTAGACTAAGAATTTACAATGTTTTTACAGGATTTGCAATTTGTGTATCACTGCCTTATTTTGAATCCTTTGGCACATACTCCATCAAGCTACCATTTCCATTCACCTTCTCAATCTACTTCCCCTATGTTCTAAAAATGTACCTGCTAGTGCTCTTTGCAGGTAAGTATCTCATCTTCCAGAAAACTGGGTCTCAACACAACTGGGATGCCCTTGTAACAAAAAATCAAATCTGTACCGGGCCTTTTACAAACTCTAACTCTCTCTAACTACATCTCCTGCAGACCACTGCAGGAAAGTGCATCACTACCTGTTTTGATTCCCAATATCTTTTAAATACAAATAGTTAAATATACAAGATACACCATGCATATGGTGCATAAAATCACAAACCTACAGAAGTTTTTTTCAGTGATGCTAGCCTTGCAGCTATTTAGTGAGACTTGCTTTTTTTTTTTTTTTTTTTTTTTTTTTTTTTTTTTTTTTTTTTTTTTTTTTTTTTTTTTTTTTTTTTTTTTTTTTTTTAATCAATTCCCATTTGATCATATGCTGGTACTGTGTAAGTGTTCCTCACTCATAACTCCTAGCTGGGATGAAAAATTATATCTAAATTAAGACTTTTACAGCATGATTTTTTAAAGGGATGAAAAAACAGGGCCACTCCAAAACTTGCATGTAAACAGATCCCTTCTCCTTCTCATCAAAACATTTTGGAAAAATTTCAACTGAATTTAGTTGCATCACACAGAAGTCTTTGTTCTTTCATTGGCTTTAACGTGAATTTGAAGGATCTCATCTTTATGATGGAGTGTTCTGTTCCTAAGTGCATGGAAGGAACTTTGCAACCTTGTCAGATGAAGGCTCTTACAGTTCCTTCTAAATTAACTGTAGACCGTTTGAATTCTAGTCCTTTGTTCTTACACTGTTTTGTATTTTGATTCAGGTATGTGCTTTATCATCCGGAACCTCTTCTCTGAGAGAATGGCACACCTAGGGACAGACAACATCAAAAATAAAAGAAGCTAACTTGATATTTTGTTTGGAAGAACAAAATATATTCCTAGGAGATTGCTGCACATCATAGTTAAAAACAAACTGGAAAAAGATTTCTCAATGCAAAGCTCCTCTTTGCATGAACATTATCTGGCTGTGTAGAGTTTTCAGAAAAGGCAGATCTCTTGAGTGCACCTCAAAAATACAGCAGCTTTTGAAAACTTTTCAATGTTTTGACTTCAAGTGGGCAGAGTTTTTAAAATTAATGTTTTTTTCTAATATATGTTACAGAATTCTGAAAAAATTGAAATGTGTCACAACTCACAGCCACACCCTTATTTCAGTGTTAATTCTTATCTATAACTACAGATATTCTGTAATGGTATTACAGATATTCTGTAATATCATTTAATCTGTAAGATTACTTTATACTAGGCCAACATATATGTACTTCAGATATAAATGCTAAATTGACTGGAACTGTAATCTCTCAAGGAGCAGAAGTCAGAACCTTTGCAGCATAGAGACTAACATGATGATTAACCTAGGCGCTCACTAAGGATTCTTCAGTTATCGAAAGACCATTCCAGAAAATGCAGCTAAATCAGAAAGGCAACTGTTAAGGTACTCATCTACTATATATTCAAGGGGATGTTTAAGTGTCAGAAATAAACACTTCTGATAATGTGTTTGGCATGTCAGTCTCTTCCCCCACAATGATTTTCTTCCATGCTGAACAGCAGACAATTATGTGCAAAAGAAGTGTGATGTAGTCAGGTCAAATAATATGTTGTTCCTAAAAGGGAACTGAATCAAAAGCCATGTGCAAAATTCTAGGCATTTTACTCAATTGTATTGCTCCTTGTACTTCTCTACAATAAACTGCTAGAATGCAACTAGACATCGGCTTTTCAAAGGTTGGCAATGAGGAATATACACAGCAACCCAGTGGATTATACAGGCAAGAATAGCCAAATAATTCCTTAGAGACTGGCAGGAGCTTTTCTGATGTTTCATCTGTATTGATTATCACCTATGTTCAATTCAAGCATGTGGGGAAGAAAAGTGAGGCTATTTTTTTTTCTAGCTGACTGAACACTGTGGGAAGGGATTGTAGGAATACAATCGATTCCTAGATTGTAGGAATATGAGAGAAGGTAATATTTAAAGGGCAACTAAATACTATTTAAATATGAAGAGGATTTTGCCGGTATGACTTTTCAAACCATGCAGCTGAAGAGGTTATATAAGGGAACAGTGAAGCTAAATTATATAAAAGGTCACCTACTATAATTTTTATTTATTTAATACATGTGGCAGACAATGCTTGCAGACTCTTTTGACCAGCAAGTATTTGCAGACCATAAGGAACAAGATCACTCTTAGAATAGTATAGTGTCAACCCTGGATTAGTGTTTTTCAAACCACTGCAAACAGAAATTTGGAACTTTGTGGAGAACCAGGAGTGCTTTCACTCTGGGCTTCTGTCTCACCCAAACTGATTCAAGTGTGAACACTATTAAGAAACATATAGAACTGCTGAGAAAGATGACAGTTTTGAAGACAGCCAGAGTAAATCCACATTAAACCACTCTATAGTTTCCTAAAGTTGAAACATGAACTTTTTCCCTTGGAAATTCAATCCAACATTCCAGAAACAGCTGATTCAATCCAGTTCCAAAACTGAGCCACTGCAAGACAATGCTGTACCAAACACCAAAGATGACGGCATGGTATCTCTCTGAAAACTTAAGGAAAGGTAAGGAATGTTACACAGCAGCTGCAAGAAAGAAGAGTAAGAAAAATGTCAGAGAAACAGCTCTGTAGACACCAAGGTCAATGGAGAAGGAGAGGAAGAGCTACTCTAGGCACTGCAGCAGATTTCACCGTGGGTCATGAAGAAGACCATGGTGGACCAGGTTGTCCCTCTGCAACCCATGGAGAAACACATCAGACACGATATCCACACGGCAGCCTGTGGAGGACCCTAGGCTGGAGCAGGTGGCTCTGCCCCAAGGGAATCTGCAGCCCATGGAGAGCTCACACAAGCAAAGCAGGAACTGTGGGCCATTAGGGACCCCCACTGAGGCAGCTTTTTCCTAATGGACTGCACCCCATGGAAAGGACCTATATTTGAGCAGTGTTTGAAGAGCTGCAGCTTGTGAGAAGAAACCATGAAGGACTGTGTCCCATGGGAGGGATCCCATGCTGGAGCAGAGCAACAGTGAGAAAAGAAACAAGCAGCAGATATTAAGCTTTATTACCGAAGTGCAATCTTCACACCCACCTTGTACTGCTCGGGGGAGGGAGGAGGTAGAAAATGCAGGAATGAAGGAGTAAAATGAATCTAGGAAGAAGGGAGGTGTAGGGGGGAGTTAGTTTTAGTTTTGCGTTTTTTTTCTTTCCATCCTACTCCAATTTTAATTGGCAATAAATTTTTCTTTGAGAAGTTGAATCTGTTTTTGTAAAAGTGAATAGTAAATGGTCACTCTGTCTTTATCTTGACCCATGAACTTTCTAATCCTATTTTTTCTGCCCTGTTGAGGAGGAGGAGGAGGGAGACTTAAAGTCCTGTTGAAGAGATGGGGCTGACTGGACATCTGGAAGACAGCTGAGGTCAAACCTATCACAGATAAAGCCATGTTTATTATTTTATGTTAAAAAAATGTTATCTCAAGACATATAACATATAGCTGGGTAAAAGGAGAGGTCCTCCAAGTGTAAACTGCCTGATAAAGGCATGAAGCTCATGACAGAAGACTTCCCCAGCTCCTGGTCCAGAGGGAACTTGGGGCAGGCAGTTGGGACATTGAGGTAGTCAGCCTTCCATGTGTGAGCACAAAAGGCCACTGTAACTTCAGCTCCAGTGCCTCACCTAAGTTCCTGGAAAAGCTCAGAACAGTGCAGGCAAAAAGATGTTTGGGACAATGACTTTTATGACATTGAGTTGTACTTCAATGATTGTAGCCTGTTAGGAAGGGATGGGATCCATCTGTCTAAAAAGGGCATGAGAAGCTCTGGCAGCAGACTGGCCAGTTTGGTGAGATGGGCTTTAAACTGAATTACTTGGCTGGGGTCCAAAGTGGCAATACTCATGCCATTGCTCCCTCCTGGGGGGTGGCCCATGCCAGCCAGGGTAATCTTGGCTGCCTCAAGATGAGAGTCTTAAGGCTAACCACATCAAGGGTGGGTATGGCTACGGGGAATCCTCTTACACCCCTCCTAGGGAACCTGGATGCTCAACTGCCTGCCTGAAGTGCCTGTACACAAATCACGGGGAATAAACAAGAAGAACTGGAAATCCATGTGTGGTCACAGAGTCATGCTCTCACTGCAATTTCAGAGACATGGTGGGATAGTTCACCACTGGAATGTTGTCATGGATTCCTGTGAAATTCTTAGAAAGGACAGGTCAGCAAGGTGAGGTGGTGGAGTTGGTCTTTATGTGAAAAAGCATCAAGCTTTGCCCAGGGACAGACAAGGAGCTGAGAGCTTATGGATAATAATTAAAGGACAGCCTAAAATGGGTGACACTGTTGGGGGTGTTTACTACAGGTCCCCTGACTCAGACAAGGAAATTGATGAGGCTTTCTATGGGCAACTGGAAGTAGCCTTAAGATCATGGGCCCTGGTCCTCCCCTGAGAGTTCAACAATCCTGATAATTGTTGGAAGCACAACATGGCTCAGCACACAGTCCAAGAAGTTCTTGCAGATACTGGAAAATAACTTATTAATGCAAGTGGTGGAGGAGCCATTGAGGAAAGGTGTGTTGCCCTCCAGAGGATCCTTCCAATAATTCTGTGATTCTCTAAACTTAAATCTTTGTATCTTGAGATATCAGCACCCCCAGATCTCTTTATACAGGGCTGCTCTCCAGTGACTCATCTATCCATTTAGACTTCTATCAGGAACCTGATACCTGGCACCTCTGTACCAGATGCAGAGTCCACCATTTTAACTTGTTAAATTTCATGCCATTAATTATAGCCAAATCCCAAATCCTCAACTATCCACATCTTTCTGCAAGGTCTCTTGTCCCTCAAGAGTCAACAGCAACTTTCAAGTTTAGTATTATCAGCAAACATAATTGTGCATTCAACTCCTGCCTCCTAATCATGGATAAATACATTGAATTGAACTGGCCCTAGACTTGAAACCTGAAGAACACTGTGGATGACTCTTTGTCAGCTCCATGCACTACAATTCTTTGAGGTCTGTCCTTCTGCCAGTTCTTTAACCAGTGCACCATGCACCCACTCATCTCACCGTTGAACAGTTTGTTCAGACAGATATTGTAAGGGACAGTATCCAAAGCCCCACTAGGTGGGTGGCTGTATCATAGGAGGGTATCAGATGAACTACTCAGGGCTTTCCCTTTGTAAACTCATGTTGACTGTGCTTGATGGTTGTATTGTTCTTTAAATGCTTTTCAACAGTATCTAGTATGATCTCAGTAAATTTTCCCTGGTAATGAAGTTAACAAGCCTGCAGTTGTCTGTGTCTTTCATCATGACCTTCTGGTAAACTCGATTCATGTTGGCCAGCTTCTGGTCAGCAGGGATCTCCCCACACCCTATTGGTAGCTCCTGCAGTGCTCTGGGATGAATCCCATCAGGCCCCAGAGACTTACAAAGATGAAACTGATATAACTGCTCATTTACAGTTTCAGTGTCCAGAAATGGAAAGTCACTGCTGCTGTATGTTCTCTGACAGGACAGGCTAGACCAGTGTGTATCAGTGTTATTAATGACTGATGCAAAAGCATAATGCCTCTGCCCTTTCCTCATCCTTTTTTTCAGGTTGACTACCTTCATCAAGATTTGGTTGAATATTTTCCTTAGATCTCCTCTTGCTCTAAATGTACTCAGAATTTCTTTTTTTTTTTATCTGACCCAACTTCAGTTTGTTCTTTTTTTTATCTGACCCAGTTTCAACTCTGAGCACTGGACTTTTGTGTTTTCTTCCCGCAGATGGGAACCACAGCTCTGTAAGCATCCTGTGAGGCCTGACCTCTCTTACAGAGATCATTCTTTGGAGTTCTCTGTTCAGCCAAGCCGCTCTTCTGCCCTTCTTGCTTGACTTTTGGCATAGTGTGTACTTGCTCCTGTGCTTCTAAAAGATTGCTCTTAAAAACGGACCAACACTCATGGATCTCTAAGCCCTGAAAATCAGATTCCCAGAGGACACTGCTAACTAGCTTCCCGAGCAGTTTAAGGTTTGCTATCCTGAAATCTAGGACAGCAACTCTGATGACTTGTTTCTCATTTACACCAAAAAATTTAAACTCATTATTTAAACTCATGATTACTGTGGCCAAAACAGCCACCTAAAAATCCCATCTTCTCCTTCCTTATTCACAAACAACAAGTTGGGGATGGGGAGGGGCAGGGGAAGAGTTGAAGGGACATCTTTCATTTTGTCTCGATGAATACGTGTGGCAAGAAATTGTCTTCAACACACTTCTGGAGTTTCTGAGACTTCCTTGTATAGTTGTCTGGCATTTCCAGTTGATGTCCAGGAAACGGACATTTTCCATAAGAACAAGGGCTACTGGTCTACAGATGTCTCCTCATTGCCCATAGATTAAATAATCACTGCTAGCACTGTGACTGAGTGAACAGTATTGTGTGCATTGGTGTTCAAAAATTTCAAATACTCTCTTAAACTCTCAGTGCTCTCTGCAGCTCTGTAAACATTGCCACCCTCAGGCCATGCTATGGCATCCCTTGGCTTCCATGTTCTACTAGACATCAGTAGGAATTTAGTTAATTCAGATGTTTACATATTGCTCCTCTATGCAAACTGAAACACAGCAAGTAGGCATCACCCAGTGATTTTCTTTAAAAAAGACAAAAATTCATCTGAATTAAAATGGTAATCAGCATACAAACTGAGATAAAAGTGTAAGTTTGAAACAGCACATTAGAGATGGAACAATTAAAATGTGACATATTTGGTTTTGTTAGAGATTACTTAGAAGTGCACACAATTGGAAATGTCATGAACTGAGATGCACACTCACTCACAAGGACTTTCTGTGAGTCCTTCTGCACATTCACCTTTGAACAGTTTTCTCAGTATAGAGTTGCAGATGCAGCAGAAACCTACCACTACTTATCCACTATTTTGAAAAGGCAAACAAGTACTGCATTAATCCTCCACATACCCAATCAGTGAAGAAATGCTCAGCCTTCACACAGTACCCTGTTGGATAATAAAATCCTAGAAAGACTCATGGAATCATAGATTATTCTGAGTTGGAAGAGGGCTATAAGGATCATCAAAGTCCATCTTCTGGACCTGCACAGAACAACTCCAAGAGCTGAGCTCTGTCAGGCCGGTGCTGTGACCACTGCCCTGGGGAGCTGTTCCAGTGCCCAACCACCCTCTGGGGAAGAACCTTTTTCTAATGGCCAGCAACATAAACCTCCCCGACACAGCTTCAGGCCATTCCCACAGGTGCTGTCACTGTCACCACAGGGAAGAGATCAGTGCCTGCCCCTCCTCTTCCCCTCACAAGGAAGTTGTAACTGCACTATGGACTGTCCTCTGTCTCCTCCATAGCAAACAGACCAAGTGACCAAGAAGTCAGAGGACAATTTCTTTAACAGAGGAAATGTTATCAGTCCTGAAAATAAGGTAATTCCTCCAGTGGGGTGTGTCTTCTAGATGTATGGAAATATAATTTCCTTCAACCTGATCAAAAATCAACAATGCTCTTACCAGCACTGTTTTGAAAGATACTAGGGAACAGTGCCCCATTATATTCAGCTAATTTTTGTCTACTTCAGCAAAGAGGATTGCTAAAAAATACAAAATCTCTTTTAATACCTATCTTGGCAAGATTTCAAAGTGAAAAAGTCTCTATTCCTTCAGAAAGAAAAAAGTAATAAATAAGGAAAATAGCGGGAGCTAATTTATTTAAGATGATAAAACTGGAAAATTGTTGCTATATTGTCGCTTTTCCCTAGAGGCAGAGGAAAACTCTTTATCTGTAGAGAAGTGTCAGGGAGATGAGAACAGTTGGAAGTGGAAAGAAAATGGCAACTGTCCTGGAGCTGCACATACAACAGCCATCAGGATCATTGACTCATTTCAGCAATCTTTATAAAGCATGGCAAACCTGACATGCATACCATCCCTCTTCAGAAACCCTGTTCACACTACATAGTCATAATGTGTTGCCATTTCTGCACAAGAACATTGTGTTATTACTAAAGGATTATCAGTTCAAAAATAATGCTCATTCCAAATCTGTTACACTAAAATATACTTTAGTAAATACACTATATCCGTCAAATTTTACTAGTTTATTTTATTTTCAGCCATTCCTTCAAAGCTTCCATGAATTAAAGGAATATTCGACTCCAGCTTTTGAGGTTCCCAGATGTCACTGAAACAATTAAATTTAAACTGAATGTGTATTTCTCATTTAGATTCCGCACATTTGCAAAACAATAACACATTACTTAAAGACAAAATATTGCTTTTCATAGGAATTTTTGTATGAAGCAAAAGGGTAAAAAAAAGCCAAACCCAATTAAAAATCTTGTAATAGGAAATGTCTTTGAAATGTAGCTTCTTGATGCCTGAGTAATAATATTATGCTTTCAAGTATGGACAGTTTTCTTCACTGGATAAGGTACAGTGTGCAGCTACCATCCATAAGCTTTAGTCCATACTGCTTTCTTCTTGAACTCAGCAAGAGACCTCAAGGCCAAAAGTGTAACTGTGAAGACAGGAACAAATTACAAATTAAGTTGTGCAGTCCAAAGGAAAAGATACGAGAGTATTCTTCCTAGTGATTTTACTAACACAGGTGTAGGTTTAGTTCTTCTTTTACTGACTCTTTTCATAATTTTTTCATTTGTGGTGATGCACAAAGCCCTTCCTTTGCTTTGAGACACATCTCACCTATTGAAATCATATCACATCATCTTCTAATTAGTCTACCAGTTAGGCAAACAGATCAACCAACATTGCAGAAAGTTCAAACTCAATGCGCAATTCAAGCCAGGACATAGGAGGACTGGGAACAACAGAACCACAAAGTCTTAAGTCTTCTGCTCAATTCACTGCCTGGAAATGCAACTCACTGATTTCTTAATTCAATTTGAAAGAATCGTGTTTAGACAAAATCCAGTAACTAACCTAGTCACAGTCTAGTTAGTCAGATGGAAGTTTCATGTTTTAGTATGTAAAAGGAAAAAAGCATCTTATTTTAAGGATAACTTCAAGACTTCAAAAACAACAGACAGATCTATCAATGAATCTATCACAATAATGATCTATCACAATAATCTTGTGCACTAGATGTACCTCTAGGTCCTTTGGACCCTAAGTGCTACATCATAAGCATCAGAAGATGAAACAGCAAATGTGAAGTGTTACAGACAAAAATATCAACTTACCTGTGACAATTACCTCAAAGACAAAATCTCACTCCTTATAACAACTGTATTTTGATCTCTACTGACCTTTCTGGAAAAATGAGGACCCAATTAAAAATATATTACCTTTCAGCAGGTCCCTGGAAGATTCTGATAATGCTTCCTTAGGACATTCCATCATATTGATCAGCCAGTCAATAAACTAAAGATAGAAATACAAAAAAAATCTGAATTAAAAGAGCCCCTGTATCAGAACACAATTAATTATTTTCAGTTTGACAGACAATATTTTATTTCTGCTAAATTCAGTTATCTGAATCAGTTATCATTGGCAGTGGCCAATGAAGCTTCTGCCCAAAGTAATCAAAAACACCCTAGAATGTTTTCTCCCTGTCAATGCAATTCTTCCCATAGCTGGACCTGAAACTCCCTTTGTTCCTTCCCATTATGTCAGCAATAATTCTTTGTAAGAAGAAGGCATGCTAAACAGCTTCCCTCCATTTTGCCTGTTCATACTTTTAACCTATTAATATAACACTTTCTTATCAGTCTCTTGTCTAAATGTTTTACTGGAAATCCTTCAGAACTCTTATTCCTCTTTTGACCTCGCTCATTTTTTGTTATTTTCTTCTGGCAGTGCAGGGTGCCTGGATGACAATATGGTATTTAAACTCATAAGGATGGTTTTCAGGGCAAGGCCTCACATTCTTCCTTAAAACCTAATTAGGCACTTGCATACTAACAGCTCACCCCTGCATTCCTCTGACATTCTGAATTCTGACTTCAGAGGTAACTCTGAGAACAGAAACATGCTCAGATAAACCAGTTCTCAACAGATTCCAGTTTGCAAAAAAAAAATATTAATCTATAGATTAATAACAGTACTTCCACATATAGCAACTACATGCATTGCACAGTAGGATTGCCAAATTAGGCACAATTTTCCACATTTATTTTCAACTCATACTTCAAAATAAATGACAACACTGCAAACTGTGAAGAAGATCTTTGACTGCTCTGAATTTACAGTGTGGTGTGTCCAGCTGCAGAGGAGCCTTCTTTCAGTGTTTAAAACACTGACTTGCTACCAGCACCTCCCAATTCTCTTCTGGCTGTATTTTCTTACGAGTTTGACTCCCAGCTTTGTCATTTTATATTTTTTTTGCAACTCTCAAATTTTACTTAAGAAACTACTCTCATATCTGATTAAAAATAAAGTGAGATCACAACTGAGATGCAGTAAAATACAGAAGAAACAACTGCTCAATCTAAGATTTAAGGTGACTACCAAAAATGGAGCGCTTTCTCATGTTAAGTGCTTACCACTACATGCAATTTTACCTTCTGTGTTTGTTCTTTCCATGGTTCCTTAGCCAGCAAAAGGGAAAGGCTACTTGGAAGGAGAGTGAGAGTCTCTTGCACAGCAAACTTGTCAGTAGGGTGCTTGCCAATGCGTTCCTCGTATAATTCCGGTGATACCATGTGGTGTTTCCACAATGACCAGTCAGCACTGAGACCAAGGAGTAATGGTGCACCATGGTCAGCCCAGGCCAAAACAGAAGCTGCAAACAGCCAGATGAGGAAATCTATGCACTAAACAGGAAAAAGGCAAAAATGCACTTCATTAAATGAACAATATGGAAGGAGAAAAAAAAAATTAAAAACCTCACCAATAAAAGCCAACAAAAAAACTCATCCAAAAAAGACACCAACCAAAATCTAGATGATGACTTGCTCTTAAAAACAATAATCTAAAAATTCAGGTAAAATACACAATGTAAGAACTAAAAAGTTAATATCCTTTTATGCTTTGTAGAGTATAAGCATCTTTATAAATTCAAACTGTCTACAGAAAGAAAAATAAAATGTCTACAGAAAGAAAAACAAAATCACACTCTTCTAAAATTATCTTTTTGATTAAAGCTGATCCACAATTCATTTAAAATTGGGAAAGAACTTTTTCACAGCAACCTGACCGTTGAAGGAAATCAGAGATGGTCACCCTTGTGGTGCTGTAAATTGTTGGGAAATATTGCAGCAATGTAATTAATGTCCTTCTGATCTAAGCAGCGGCTTATTTTATGTCTTCAAATGGAAGACCAAAAAATAAGTGAACAACATTATTTCTCTAAAACTGTTCAAACCCTCTCAGAACCAGAAACCCGCTTAGGCAGTTCTACAAGTGAATTCAAAATTTTCCTTCAAATGTTCTAAATACAGTAAATTTAAAGAAATTATTTCCTTCAGTTGCTTTAAGGTTCTATTATAACTTAAATGCAATAGTTATTTTAAAGTAATAATCCATTCACAAAATTGTGAAGATCTTCTCTGTGGTGGTAAAATCACAATCTTCTAAAACACAAAAGCATGGGGAATAATTCTTCTTACTGAGGAAAAATGTGAAATATATCAGAACTTCCTTCTGTCCTTGCTCCAAATAATTTTCACAGCCATTACCTCTTTCAGATCAACATTTTGTAAGGGTGTTGACTTGTATGCTACATTTCTAGTGTAGCCCATCAGGTCTAACAGCCAGTCCATTCTTTTCATAACTCCTAGAAAAAGAATAAACACTGACTCATGTCAAACACTAGAATGCACTGCTTTTCATTAAAAAGCAAGCACAGAAAATCACTATAGCAGGAAGGTACCAACTGCAGAAGAACAAAGATCACCAATAATACAATCACGTTTGATTAATTTTACCACTGACATACAGGCCCTAAATAGTACAGAAACATTGCATATAATGCAGGCAACACACTGAACACACACACACACAAAAACCAAACAAAAAATGGAGTGAGAATTATTTCACATAATAGCAGCCTGCAGGACTCACTAACCAAGTCTGCACATATGACTGCTACAGAATCTTAAAGCCTCCCTTAACATGCAAATCATGGTGTAAATGGTCCTACAGTGTTGAGAGGGTCAGTAAAATATGGTCAAAGCATGCAAATAAAATCAGCCCCCAGTTCATCTCAAGGATGGAAGACATTTCATTGATTCAGATTCTGCTATCCAAAATCTGTTCTATCTCCTAGAAGGTAATAACCATGCTCACCACCAAGACCACATTACATCATACATAACTATTTCCATGTAGTCTTTACAAATGCCCCCTTTCATGCTGTCTCCTACCCAAAGAATCCTCACTTCACTCAATTAAAGCTCACTGCTCTTTGAAGTTCTTGAAACACAGATGGCAGCTAAGGCATCTGGCAGTAGTTGTTTAGTGAACACAGGCAGACAAAAACCTTTCTGCCATGAAAATGATACCTCATTCTTTTATCTTTCTGTTCTTTTTCCTTCTTTATCTTCCTGTGTGATTGTCTTACTTCTCTTGCATCAGCTCCTATGCTTTGTCAGACCTAGAGCTGAGCCAGCCCAAATCATTAACCTACCAGATGACTATCTGGTATAGGTATGAAGAGGAAAAAAGGGAAATTTATTTCCTGTGTTAAACTGTGCAAGGAGTTCAGGAAAGAAAGTTATCTCCTGAGTTCAACCAGTCTCCTGGGAACATTTCCCCACCTTCTGTGTCACAAACAGTTAAGTCAGATTGTAGGTCAGAAGGTTAGCAGAGTTGCAGTATTAAGAGGTCTTTAATGTACTGTGTACATCTGTAACACTACCCTAAAAAGAGTGGGAGACACAAATCTAGTTAAAACTCTGGTCTGTAAACCACATTGATGAGACAAATGACTTGTAGCTGGACCCCAGAAAAAGAAGTAACTGGAGAAAAACATAAAAGCAGAGTGTGATACAAGTACTTGACTAATAAAATAATTCTGAAGACAGTAGTTTCTAATATGGAAAAATTTGGTTAAACCATCTTAAAATAATTTTAAAGGAATCATTGTAGATTCATAAATATCTATTGATTGCATTGTTCATTTTTCTTTAAGCCTAATCTTACCTGTATTTTCATGTCTCACAATGCGAGCATGATAGAAACTATGCAGGAACATCCATAAAATATTTTCCTTCTGGTGATATTCTGCCACAGTATGAATCACAGCACTCAAGTTTGTCAGAGACAATCTGCCTTGAGAAACTAAATACACTGTCATGAATGTGGCCTTCTCTATATTGTTCTGCAAATGCAATAAAAAAAATAGTTAAATTGAAAGGTATATTTCTTGTGGGAACAGTAAATTCTGCATTCCTCTTTATAAAAAAAATAAGAAACTCTTTGAATGACTAATAGGCTTCATTTTCCTCAAGACATATTACACAGAAGACTGTACATGCTACTTGAACTTTACACCGTTTGAAATAGGCCAGCAAAGTGTAACTCAGTCGAGCCTGTTTTCATACTGCTTTAAATTTTAAATTCCCTTTTGAAATTGAATTAACCAGCTTAACAGTTCTGGACACTTAAGTCTTCTTACAAGACAGATACACTGTAGTGACAAAAAGAGGTTTTCTTAAATGATGTTTTCCAGTGTGAAATATGAAGCGAAAAATACAAGGAAATGACATTTCAGCTTCCACAAACTATTTGAATGTTTGACGCTCTAGTGAATTTCATAGCAAGCAGAAGGGGTGGAGGGGGGCTTTATGTCACCGACTTTTTTTTTT